CTGGACATGTCCAGAGGAAGGAGAGTGGTCTGGACATGTCCAGAGGAGGGACCGTGGGTACATTGGTAGAAAGATGTTAGAAATGCAGCTGCCAGGAAAAAGACGAAGAGGAGACATATGGATGCAGTTAGAGAGGACATGGAGGTAGTTGGAGTGAGGACAGAGGACAGAGTGAGATGGAGGAGGACTCGTTGTGGAGAACTGAAGAGGGAACAGCCAAAAGAAGAAGATCAAGCCACAAACTCAAACTGGAACTTCAGTCTCACTGATGTTCATGTGGCAACCTGATGCCCACTTACTCTTGTAAATGAGGGAATGCCATCTTGAGCAGGTTAGCGATGTACTCCTGGACGTGCAGCTGGTTGTTGGTGGGATTGGTGGTGCTCAGAGCCACGTTGACCTTTCCCTCCTCGACCAGGTTGAACATGTAGGCCAAGATGGTGGCATGCATGGTCAGACCTAAAGACAGACAGAGGGGCTAATAAATGCCCTGAATCCTTCACAGCCAAACCATCAACCACGGCAGTAAATAGTTTTAAGTTAGTCAGCATTTTTCATCGATGTCAGATGTATACAACTGAGCATCAGACAGTATTTAACAGTGCAGCATGAAGTGCAGTAGGACGTGTGGTCAGCCTCTTTACCTGCAGTGTGAGATGTATCAGTGACCACAGAGAAAATGTGCTGAAGGATGTCGCAGAAATACGTCTGGTAGAAGCTCTGCGCAGCTGCCTCCTCTGCAGACACATTCTGAAGGAGTGTGTAGAGGATCTGCAGACCTGGAGACAATCATCAGCTTCAATCCTCTCCACACTCAGTACACCAGTAAGACCATTTGTTCAGAAACTTATAAAGTTTAGAGTTTTAGCTTCACTCCCTATTCCAGTATTGTTTCAATATGTGAAAGTTGACTGTAGGTCAGACCTGTGTCAGCCACATTCCTCATTGTATGCTTGAAGGCCCAGATGATGGAGTCCAGGATGAGTTTGAACTGGGCTGGAGCAATGGACAGGAAGGCTGGGAAGCACTGGGAGGTGGCAGCTTGAAGCAGGTAGAAGAAGTGGGTTCTGTGTTCTGGGAATTCTTCAAAGTCCTGCCAACACAGAGAACCAGTTAAGACTTGATGTTTCTTAAGACGTCGTGTTCCTCAACTTGTCCCGGGACAGCAAAGGTCCAAACTGACCTTGTTGATCATGTTTAAAGTGCACTCGAAGACGGCGTCAAAGATTTTGGAAATTTCACTGGTGATGTGGATGCCCAGCTTATTGACAATGGTTGCCATGGTGCTGAGGACCTCAGGTTCTCTGGCAGCTGGGACGTTCCTCTGGTAGTCAATGAGCACCGCCTCCAGCAGGGGGGGCACAAAGTTCTCTGCCACCTAAACCACAGAGATCCAAACATGTTTAACAGATTCATTCAAATAGTTTAAAGCAGGCAGCTGATTTCAATATTTGCAGTATTTTGTTAAGAGTAAACATGTAACCCTGGAGTCTCTCAGTAATTTACTTTATTACAATTAACCCTTCAAATGAGAGTCAAGTGAAAACTGAATGCAGTGTTTTAGTACTTCAGTCTGAGTACAGCCAGAGTCAAGAATAGATTTAAACTGCTAAATTAGCTCTCAATACTTTTACTGAGTCAAGTAAAGGAGCTGAAATAAAGAGCTGAATGAGAGGCCAGCTTGATATGACGGCACGCCCCATGTACAAAATGTTTTGACAAGACTCTAATCCAAGTAAATTCTCCTGTGATTGAAATCCAACAACAGGAATAGAGCAGTCCTCAAAGGTAACCTAGAAACACCAAAAGAGGTGCAGCAGTCACCTTACAGGGTGGGGGCTGCCAGTGGTTGTGATCAGGATTACCCAACGGTCATCATGAGGCCCAAGTGTCGTGCATTCAAACCATTTGAAGACATGCAGCCATTAATGCAATGAAACACTCAACAAGTCCATCACTTGAGGGGTTGACCACTTGTTGGGGCCTTAAGTCATTTTAAAGGGATGGCTGAACTGATGTCCAGAGGCTAAAGGTTCTCCTTTTTCCTGCATTACCCCCTCCTCCTTATTGCCCACCATGAACCCAAATGCTTTGAACACCATTAATATGTGTCTGCACCTTCTTCTTCCTCCTCCTCCTCCTCCTCTTTCGGCTTCTCCCTCTTCAGGGTCTCCAGGGCGAGTCCACCTCCACCTCACTCTGTCCTCACTCCAGCTACCTCCATGTCTCTAACTTCATCCATATTTCTCCTCTTTGTCTTTTTCCTGCAGCTGCACTTCTAACATCCTTCTACCAATATACCCACTGTCCCCCCTCTGGACATGTCCAAACCACTGTCCCTCCTCTGGACATGTCCAAACCACTGTCCCTCCTCTG